AGGTCATGATCTCACCGTTCATGAGTTCGAGCCCCGCGTCCGGGCTCTGTGCTGACAGCTCAGAGCCTGGAGCCTGCTTTGAATTCTGTGTCTCCCTCTCTGTCTGCCCCTGCCCCACTCTTGCTCTGTCTCTCTCCATCTCTCAAAAATGAATACACGTTAAAAAATTAAAAAAAAAAAAAAAACCAGTTTGAGTTTCTCTCCTAACTGAAAGAACCCAAATGAAAAACTCAGTGGCAATCAGAACCAAGACCTAGACGGTGGGGACGCTGCTGGGAGAATTACAGGTGAGCCGTATGCCAGAGGCATCCCTGAAGCCCACCCCATACCCGGAGCCTGGGTGAGGCCCCCTTCATGCTCACCAAGACGCAGCAGACCCCTTCCCGAAAAACACAGTTAGATAAAGGCACAGACTTTTTCTTTCGCTTTACCATTTATAAAGCCATACAATGGGTCGCCAAGAAACAAAGCAGCTGTACAGGAGCGGGCCAGCATTGGTGTAAAATACATTCATATCCAGGGCAAGGAGCACAGGTCAGGGTTTATACAAGGTGGTGGAGGTTATAGGCACGATGATACAAAATAGAAAGGATATTTCCATCTATATAAATACACAGCCAGGGGACGGGGAGGATGCCAAGTTATTGTTTCTCCTGCAGAGGGCCTGGGAGGCGGGGAGGGGGTGGCAAGGAATTTCTTACATTTGTTTCGAATGGTGTGTCGGAGGGAAGAGAGAAAATGGGGAAACATGGCGTGCACACACACACACGTGCTCAGTCTCACGCACAAACCGAACATGGACACAGAGGAGAGTCTCAAACTGTTTAACACTGATTAGAAAACAAACTGGGGACATTCCTCTGCAATCACCTCGCTGCTGAGAAGAGCCCTGGTGTGGGAAATAAACGGAAGTCCTCAAACATGCTGGGCGTCTGAGGACAGAGGAGTCGGGAGGGAGCACCCCGTGTAGCCAGTCCTCACCAACAATACTGACAATCTAGCGATCGGGGCCCTCCTGATTCCTTTCACTGCTGGGTGATACTGACCTTGACATCCCATCGCTCATTCGCTGCCTTTGACCCTAACCCCGTGTTCCCTAGAGACCAGCAAAATATGTACACGTATACACCCACACTTGCACACGCACGTGTATGCATCATGCATCCGCCCCACGTAACACCAGCCAGGAGCTCCAGTCTTGGGACCTGGGGCCTGGGCCTGGGTGAAGAGTGGCTCTGGGACTCTGCCCCCAACCTCTCCAAGGAACCCAAGTGTGGGGAGACGTAGGGGCGGGAGGCAGCCCTTGGATGGGGCATGGACCCACTTGACCTCCCCCAATCCTGAAGTTGAGACAGTCCGAAGAAGCGGGGGAGAGCCAGGAGGCAGGGACGGTGAGCAAATGCCCCGGGCCTATCCCTGTTCTGCTTACAGACACCTCCACACCCCCTGGATGGCAGGGGAGCCTCCCTGACCTCGGCTGTGGCGCATCAGAGTACCCCCCCTCCTGAGTGCCCTTTATAAGGATCACACTTGTCCAGCTGGCTGCTGCCTCCTACAGGTCACACGGCCACCGGGCCCCGCCACCCCTATCCTGCCAGCCTCTGACACACCCAGGGAGTCCTCGAAACCCACAGGAGAAGGAATCCACACATTTTTAGAGTTGCTGGGGAGAGACGCCGACAAAGATAGGGGTCAAAAGGCCCTTCCCTAGCCTAGGACACAGTGTATTGGCCCCCAAACACCTGGCTAGATAAGGGGACCAGGGTGCCAAGTCTGCAGGGCGGGAGCATTGCAGTCACCCCTGGAGGTTGACCAGACAGCTCACTTCCTTCCTATTTCCCCTCTGGGGTCACGTCTCCATTGTTCCCATGCCCTGCCCTGTCCTCCTGTTCCACGGGTGGGGAGCCACCTGGACCTCTCCCTGAATCGGACAGACACCGTGCAGGCCAGCCCCAGGCCCCAGGCTGGCTTCAGATGCCTGGCTGGAGCGGGGGGCGCCGAGGCCTGAGCCTGCCTGGCGTCTGTGTCACTGTTTCGCCGCCTCTCCCGTTCTTCCTCGCCAACTTCCCCCAGACCCTTGCCCTGCCAGCCTGTTTCAAGACCAGACAGCATTCTCCTGGCTGACACACAGATTCAACAATAACAGCAAAAAAGGTTGAGGGGGAAGGAGGAGAGGAAAGGATAGACATTCACACAATAATAACAATAATTATTAAAAGTGCTTTATCTTAAAGGAAATCTTTGGCAAGAATATACCGCAGCGCTGTGGGGTGTGTGTGTGTGTGTGTGTGTGTGTGTGCGCGCGCGTGCACGCATGGGTACAGAGAGCTAACCTGTGAGACATGGAAGAGCCACGGTGTGCTCCCAACCAGTGTCTGACCCAAAGGTAGGGCCGCCTGGAGACGGGGGTACCCTTCCCTATCATTCTTCTGGAAACCCACTCCTTCCAGAGGGACGCGAGGGAGTGAGCTGATCAGCTTCCCAGGATGCCCAGTCCTTCCCAGGGTCACACTAGGCTCAGGCCTGAGCGGGGCGGGCTGGCCATGCCTGGGAGGTGGGAGCTGCTGGTGGGCAGTGGGAACGCACGTGTGACGGCCCGGGGCTGGCTGCCGAAGGGTCTACCACTCGACCTGGCCTCAAGCGGAGACAGGACATCCAGGCCAGGAGGGGAGAGTCCCGGGGCCAGGTCCAGCAGGAGATTGAGATATTTACAAAGGAAGTGGGCAAGGGATATCTCCTATCTGGGAAGAGAGTCAGGGTATGTAGGGAATGAGGAGCGGGGAGATCTGGGCATCTGGCTTGAATGCCTCAGAAGGAAGAGCACTTTGGAGGAACCTCGGCCACCAAGTGCAAGGTTGTAATCTTTAGGAAGCGAGGGCCTGCTCCCTACCTTCAGACACTCTCCAACTCCCTGAAACAGAACGTCCACACAGATACAGCTTCTTGGAGGAGAAAAAAATGCAAAAGACACACCTGTCACCCACATCTGTCACACACACCCTTGTCCCCCGCAGGCTCATCCACTTGTTCAGGCCCACAGTGAGGGGGGCAGCTCCCCTCATCTCTGGGAGCTGACTGCTGTGCCCCGGGGCTTGCCAGAAAGCAAGGGGGTGAAGGGAATGGACATGTGCACCCCCTTCTCACTGAGCCCCAGACGGAGTCTAGGGAAGGCCAACAGTAGGGCCAGGAGACCCCTGATGGCTCCAAGGATAAAGGCCCCCTACAGTTCAGACCTCACTTATACATAAAAAAGGGACGGGAATTGGTTTATGCCCGGGAAGGCAATAAAGCATTATGGGAAAACAATAAATACTTCTTGTCAATTTACCTATTCTTTTTTTTAACCTTTTCTTATATTTTATTAGCTTACAGATTCTGTCAGTATGTCTCACATATATATTATATATATTTATATATCAGTACAATGCCTCTCTCTAGGGAACCCCATAGGCTTAAGAAGCCATTCAATAATGGAATCCCGGTGAATTTTCTACTCTGGCTTAGAGTGCTTGGGTGGTGGTCTGGGGGGTTCCCAATTGCCCAGATGGACTCTCAGCCCTCTGACCTAAATGCATTCCCTTGCCCCTCTGCTCCACGGGCAGCTTGGCTCTGCTGGGGAAACCATGGCAGGAGGGGGAACAGCGAGGCTTTGGCATTGTAGGTAGGCCATGTAGATGCACAGGAAGCGGCCCCAGGAGCTCTGCCAAGGACAGCCCGGGCAGCCCAGTAAAAATCAGACCCAGAATCACCTGCAGAGGGGGGGATGAAAGGCCATCGGGTGTCTCCCCCGGGGCCTCACGGAGCAGGTTCCCCAGGACGAGCTCCAACACAGAGGCCCTGAAGGACAAACCAGGGCAGGAAGGCTTGATCCCCGACACCCAAAAAGGCATCAAACAGATAAGCAAATCTGAAGAAAGGCTGGTCTGGGGCACAAAACGCAAGAATGGGCTGAGGGCTCAGAGCTAGCCGGAGCCACCTGCCCATACCTGCTGCTGGGCCACACGCCTCCGAGAAGACCCCCAGAGCTCAACCAGCAACCCCCTTGAGGGATCTCCTCCCCAAGACTATGCACACGCACGTCTGCACCTCCCGAACCAAGCGTCCAGCCTCCCTGTGGGGGCAGATCAGGGCTAAGGTTGCAGGGCGGCCAGCCCCACTCCTGCGGGGGTCTTTGCTGGGAAGGTGCTGGCAGCACCCAGGGCCGCTAGAGAGCAAGCGTGGGGACCGAGAGAGAGTCTGCGACCCCGTGATCTTGGGTACTCCTGCTGCCCTGTCACGCCCAACTCTCACCTTCTTTGGACAGTATGCACGTGCGTGCGCAAATACACGGGGCACGCACAAGTCTATGTATTTATAACTCTGGCTGAGAGGCACATGGAAATCAATACGTGAAGATGTGGGTGTGGACACAGTATATACCCCATACAGACACCCACACAGACTGTACATCGGAGGCAGAGTCCAGAGACCTCAGGAACCTCAGGTCTACGGTACTCTCACAGGTAAAAGTTCTGCCACTTGGTGCCCATGCTGGCTCTTTTTGGTTTGCCAATCTACCCCAGAGGTGGCCAGAAAAGGATTCTCTCAATTTGATTTCTCCTTGCAAAGCGGTCGGGTTAGGGAGACAGCTTTTCCATTTACTCCCAAAATATAGATCCTCAAGGAGTTGGTCTGTCTCCTCTGAGGAGCCCCGGCCTCTTGGAAGGGGGAGGGGGATCAGGTGGACCTGGTTAGCGGTGGAGGCTTTGGGGGCTCTGCGGTATCCATCCACCCAGGGGAATCCAAGTTATCCTCCCCCATCTTTTTCTTTCTCTAGCTCTCTCTCTCTCCCCCCCTTCCCCTCTGCAATTCACTTCCCCCTCCCCACGTTGCACTTTCTTCTCTCCTTCTCCAAAATTGGCCCAAAGTCCTCCTTCTGGATTCAAGGGTGGTCAGGATTCATGAGTCCCCGCCCCACATGCCCCGTCCCCACTGCCATGGCCCCGGGCGAGGGGTGGCGTTCATCTCTTCTGGCCGGCACTCAGCATGACCTTGGAGACAAAGTTGACGATGGCGGAGGCGGGCTGGTTGGGGTCAAGCTCAGCGAAGAGGTGGCAGGCATTGTCGGTGGTGCTGCCCTGTTTCCGGGCCACGAAGCCGAAGAGCCTGCAGGGGCAGGAGAAGGGGGTGACGGGCGTGAAGCGGACCCCAGGCCTTGGAGAGCTGCCCCCGTGAGCGAGCTCTCCTCAGGATGAAGTCTCTCGCCACTCTTCCCGCCTCTCCCAGCACATGAGGACTGGGGCACGGGGCACAGGAGAGAGGGTTCCTCTCTCCCTTCCGCCCCGCACCCCAAAGCCAGGTCCTAGAGATAACAGGATCATTGGTTTTAGGTAGACAGAGATTCCCCTTTGAGAGGCAGGGGGAGGCGGAGCTGGAGGCAAATGACAAGACTGGACACTAAAAGGCAGGGAGGAGACCGAAAATAAAATGGGGACATTCCTAGGCGAGCTTCTCTCGGTCCTTCCCCGCCCCGCCCCTTCCTGACTGTTCACACAACACAGAAGCCCATGAATAAAACGCTGTCTGCCTGTCAAAGCACTTGGCCTCAGACACCAGGAGGGGGTCAGGGAGACAAAAGGACAAGGGGTCACCACCACCCCCCACACACACACACTTCTCCTGGGCTCCAGAGAACGGGAGGGGACAGAGGACCCCACACCTGTTCCTCCCTACCCCCCACTCCCTGCACCAGGGCTGGAATGACCTGGCATTCTCTGTGCAAAACAGAGTTAAAAATATGAGCAGAGAACAGAATGTGAGCCCAGGTCCCCTCCCAGTCGGCACGTTGCTAATTAGAGCGAGATGGGGAAATCGGGACAGCTGGAGATTCCGATGGAAACCCCTCTCCCCAGGACTGGACCACAACAGCTAAAATTAGCAAAGTTGGGTCCTGCTTGCCACCGACCGCACGTATAGACACACACACACACACACACACACACACTGGGCTTCCTACAGCTTTGCTCTCCCCAACTCTGTTTCAGGGTCTGGGAACAGCTGGACCAGAGTCCGGGGTAATGGCCTGCCCAAGTGAAGGGGTAGCCTGGGTCCACGGACCAATCCCCAGGACCCCCGTTCCAGGCTGGCTCAGTCTCCTTGGTGCAGTGGAAGGCAGTAAGGGCGGACAGAGGGAGTGGCTCCAAGCTGCCGCATGACAGCGAGCCAGCCCCTGCTGCCTGGTTCTGCCGGGGTGGAGAGCCAGCCAACCTCACCAGCCTAAACACGGCCCACCTGCCCTCCCCTACTGTTTACTTCAGCTCTGTGGCTCCCAGGGCCAGTTCAACAACTGCCAAGTCCTTTCTCTGCTTGGGGCAGTGGATCCAGGCAGGAAACCTCAGCCCCGAGGCAGGGAGGGGCACTTGCAAGAACCTGAGAACAAGTGTCTCCTTAAATGTGGGGCCTGAGGCGCCTTGCGCACCCCTCCTTCGTCTGAGACAGGCTCCCTGGGGCTCCGCCTGGCCCAGCAAGGCCGTGTCAGCAGGAAGCTCAGCACAAAACCAGCTCCGGAATGAAGAGAATGACTTCCAGGCCTGGGACCAGCCCACTTCTGTCCCTGACCCATCTCCCCACGGCGGGGCCCAGTGCTGAATGAGCACGAGCTCCCTTAAACACCAAGTTCTGGCCTGCCTGGCTGGAGTCCGAGACTGAGAGACCCAACGACCCTGGGAACTCAAAGAAGGCTGAAGTAGGTACAAGGCAAGCTTCAAGAAGGCTGGACACCTGCGTGCTCCTTTCAGCTAATTCTTTATGTGACCTCGGGCAAGGAGAGGTGCCCTGCATCCCCCTCTGGATGCTCCCAAGGGCGTTCACCGTGCTGACTGCCTACTGCTCAGCTCCATTCATTCCTGACCCAGGGGGCCTCACCGTGCTTCCTCCTCACTCTCCCCCTGCTTGCCTCCATCCTCGAATTTCTTCATTCGGCAAATATTTATCACCCCTCCCATACCACGAAGGCAGTCCTGCCCTCGGGGGCTTGCCATCGGTGTGGCCCTGCCTCCCTGTCCCCTGGAAATTGTCTCCTACTCCCACACCCATTTCTACCTGTGCAAAATGTGCTGTCTTTTAAGACCCATTTGAAAGTATTAGTTCTTTCCCCAAACCTTCCCAAATCTCTCCCTGCCTAGATGTGCTCTTCTTCGTGCTTCGTACCCTTCATGTGTCGCTACAACAGCAGTTTTAATTTTCTTTTAACAGGGAAAGTTCTCCTTTTCTAAAGCAATCTTACATGAAGTCCAAATACATGAAGGTGACAGCAGGATTTATGGCCATGAATGTATCGATGCAATAGCAAAACATTCACCTATTATAAAGTCAACGAGGGAGAAAAATTGGGGCTGCTTGCATGAACCATACAAAGTCAAATGTGGAATTGCAGACCATAGGCCAGCTTCACTACTCAGATTATTCCTATACCCTGTTTAGGTTTTGTGAAACCGAGAAAACGCTGACCCATACTGGTCAATAACTGCCTCTCAGGCCAGGGTTTCTCCTTCCTTCATAATGGCTCGGTTGCAACCGGAGGACCCTAGGGTTCCTGGGAACATGGTTTGAAAACCACTCCAGCACGTCAGGGCTGTTTATGCACTTGTCTTATCCACTGGGCCAATATCAGGCCTCCTGAGGGCAGAGTCGGCCTCCTGAGGGCAGAGTCAGCCTCCTGGTCCGTCTGAATTATCCTGGGGCCGAGTGCACTGCAGACACGTGGGAAATGCTGAAGGGGTGGAAGAATCAGCCAAAAGGTCCTAGGTCCATCCCAGAAGAAATGTGGACTTTCTGGGCGCCCGACTTCTGATGAAGAGGTGGAGCCCAGCCACAGGATCCACAGAAACCCACCAAAAGAGCAAGAGTAGGAATCAAGGAAGCCAGGATTGGGGCAGAAAGATCATTTAAACAAGCCTTGCCCCATGACCACTGCCTCCAGTAGAACTCCCAGCTTTCTGTCCACTTTCTCAGATCTCTGCTGGTCTGGTCCTGGGAGAGGGAAGGTGAGGAGACTGGAGGCTGGGCCTCTGGCCTTGAGGCAAGAGAAGGCAAAAGACCTGGCTGCCTGGCCAAGCTTTTCTCCAAAGCTGAGTAACCTGAGCACAAAGGCCTTTGTTGCCCTTTGCCTACCCCTGGTCCCAGATTCTAACCACCAACCCCCCACCCCCACCCCCAGCCCAGGGAGCAGCCAGCTGGCGTCGGGGGAGAAGCCACACTTACTTAGCAGGGGCACCTCCTTCTGTCTTCATCCACCTGTGGAGACAAAGATACCACAGTGTAAACCACCACAACTCCTCCCCCCAGAACGCAGCCCTGCGCATGCCCAGACCTGCAGGGGGAAAGCAAGGGAAACTCTGTTCCAGGGGGGTGGGAGCCTCCAAAGACCACGCAGGGGGAGGCATTCAGGGTGGAGAGAACACTGTGGCCTGCCTCCCAAAGAGCTCTCCCGAGTGTGAAGAGGAGAAGCGGATTCAAGGTCAAGGATATGGCACGGGGCATGGAAGCAAGCATTTGAGTCCCTGGGAGGGGCTCCAAATTTGTGGTGGGAAAAACTCAAAAAAGTACCCAACGCAATTACTGACAGTCTCACAGACACAGGCGGATCTTCAAGTTGAACTGTGAATACACACCCACACGCACACCCACGCCCACACATCCCCCCACACAGACTTCAGTGCTGTGAAGATGGGTGCAAGAGAAGGCGACTACAAGAGACTTACTTTCTCTCCTGTGGATCCAGGTCACAGAAGGTGACAGTGTTGAGGGGGTAGTGTCGTCTGAAGAAGAGCCTGTGGCACAGATACCAGATAAACAGAGAATGAGTATCCACATGACCACCCTTTGCCACTTTCCACTTGCAGGCATCAGGCTACCCTCTGCAGCTGTCATGGGTTAACCCAGCCTCTCCCTTATGAGCAAGGTGGCCTGGGCTGCTCACCTTAGCAATGCATAGGGACATAAATGTGTCACTGAAGCATGTCCCAAATGCTAGTGACTAGGAAAAGAAGGAAGAAACTGGTACTGAAGGATGATCAATGAGGGGATGTGACAGAGGAAGGAAAGAAGCTGGAGGAAGAGCACAAGAGCAAGGGCTCTGCTCTAGAAATCAGGCACTTTTATGAGTTGTGTTTCTGGCTGTATACCCTATGCAGGCATATTTGTAGGAGGGAAGACGGATGGATGGATGGATGGATGGATGGATGGATGGATGGATAGATGGATGGGTGGGTGGATGGATTGGTGGGTGGGTGGAAGATTGGACAGGTGGGTGGATGACAGGTGGACAGACGGAGGCACAGGTTGGTAGGTGGACGGGTGGACAGGTGGACAGATGAGTACAAGGTACAAATGGTAAGTGGGTGGGTAAGTAGATTGATAGATGGGGCACAGTGGGGAGAGCCCAGTACGGAAGCAAGTAGAAGAGTCTTACTTTCTCTGGTTGTCAGTCAGTGTGATTCCCTGGGCAGAAACTTTGAAGTGAACGATGGTGGCAGCTGGTGTGGGGTCAGCAGCCAGAGTCTCAGAAGTGGCTTTGGAGATGGCCTGTGGCCCAGTGAGTGATTCCATGTCCACAGAGTTGACGAAGAGCACGTTGCAGGCTGGAATAAACCCACCCAAAGAGAAGTCACGGGGACTGGAGTGGGTGGGGATTACCTCCCAGCTCAGCTCTTCGGGGGAGGAGTAGATGAATGTTTCGCCAGCCTCAGGCCAAGGCATCCGCACAGAGAATCACGGACTGCCCAGAGATAACTGGGTCTGCAGGACGGGACAGGGCAGGCAGAAGGAAAGGCCTGGGCGGGCATCCTGTCTGGGGTGGCCACTTACCTGCCCCTTGCTTCAGCAGGTCAGTGGTTGAGTTGGCAGGGCCTGAGCTATCTTTCGATTCATCTGTGGGGTCTGAGACAAAAATTTAATTCAGCTGGTAATTAAAACTCTAGAGCTGGAAAGAAGCACAAGTTCGGCTGGGCCTCAGGCAAGCTCTGCAAATACTTTGTGCAATGGATACCGCTTTTCGTAACAGGCCCTGGCAATAGGCACGTTTGTGTCCAGTCTGAACATTCAGTGAGGACTGTCGATAGTTAGCACGTGGGTTGAGAGCTCTGGAATCCAACAGTGTGGGGTGCAGACCCTCGCCCCAGCACCTGCCAAGCACCTATAAAATGGAGATTGTGATGACAGTACCCATTGTGCTGGGTTTTTGAGATGTTCCATATACACTGTTAGCCCAGTGCTTGGCATAAAGCAGGACTTCAAGCGGCAACTGACATCTCTGTTGTCATTTTGCATTGATGTGTCTTTGGGTAGATCGATGAATGTCCCAATTCGCTAAAGCACTAATATAGCGCAGTCGTGATTTCGCTATTACTAAGAACGGAGTGTTGCCTGTACCGGTGTTTCTCAGGCTTTGGGGTGCAGGCTGATGGAAACACAGGTTGCTGAGCCCCACTGGAGGGCTTGAGAATATCTGCATTTTTAACAAGTTCTCAGGGTGCCGATGCCACTGGTCTGGGAACCATACTTTGAGAAGCACTGGTTTATATAATGTAAACGTCAAACCGTTTTGTAATTGCTAAACTACTTTCATAAATTTCGTAGACCTATAATTTAGTTGGTGTCTCAACTTTGTGCTTAATAATGCTACTTAAGTTGTACTTGAACTTTTAAATTAATTGGGGCGCCTGGGTGGCGCAGTCGGTTAAGCGTCCGACTTCAGCCAGGTCACGATCTCGCGGTCCGTGAGTTCGAGCCCCGCGTCGGGCTCTGGGCTGATGGCTCAGAGCCTGGAGCCTGTTTCCGATTCTGTGTCTCCCTCTCTCTCTGCCCCTCCCCCGTTCATGCTCTGTCTCTCTCTGTCCCAAAAATAAAAACGTTGAAAAAAAAAATTTAAATTAATAATGTTGGCCAATTATTAGTAGCAATTCAATGAAACGAGTTGGATTCACAGAAATTGTGAAATGATATTAGGGGTTTTGTGTATGGGCATAACCCCAAGAGCTCCAAGAGAAACTGGAAGAAAGTCCCAGAGACACTTCTGAATATCCTATTGTTAACCAGAGAGGATGGGGACCAGGTACCCAGTTTCCAGTTCCTAGACCTCAAGGTCAGGGCTGAGCATAATTTCCCTTGGGTGGGCCCTTATTCATGGGGCTGGGCAACAGAAGCCTGTGCGGTGACGAGTCTTGGGTGTCCATCCGCCATCCTCCACAGCTGGAGCTCTTCTCTGAGAGAAGCTGGGCCTGGTGTCTCACTCAATGTCCTATATGTCCTGAGGCTCGTGGGTTCCATTTGTACTTAGCTCCACATCCCCTCAGAGAACACCCTGTCAGCCAAGCAGACTAAAACTCCACGGACGTCTTGGCCCTGTTTTCTTCCCATGCCATGAGGAACCTAGTCACTCTTCCTCTGTGTGTGCTCCCTGCTCTTTATTCACACCAACCTCCAACACGTGGGCGCCCCCATGACCTAAATCTGCCTTCCCCTCCCCCTTCCCTCAGCCCTGCCCACTGATGCCCATCTCATCCTCCAGACACAGTCCTCCCCATAACTGACTCCTACTTCTAGTGCCTCCCCCCTGGGCTTATTCTGAGGATTCGCAAAAAAATTTCTTAAAGGCATCAGAGAATTTTCCAGAACAATCTGGAAAGTCAATTATGTGTGTTCCTGGAGTTAAGTTTTTTTTTTAAGAACTTTTCCTTCTTTTTTTACTAGGAGATTTAAAAAAAAAAAAAAAAAAAAAAAAAAAAAAAAAAAAAAAAGGAGAGTAGCTTTGAATTTCCCTAGATTGGCAAAATGACCCAAGTCCTCAATGCTGGCCCATGTTCTGGAGCGGCTGGCAGAGCAGACACAAACAGCAGCCCAGCTCAAAGATGTACTTGGAGAGCAAGGAGTCTCACGTTCCTACCTCGGTTTGGAATGACCAGCTTACAGGGCAGAGCCAGTGGGATGATGGAATGCTGGTAGACCAGGGCAGAGAGAGACCCTGCAGGGGGAGACAGCATGTCAGGAGCAGTGTCACTGGGAGCAGGCCCAGGCACCGAGGAGCCCAACCACCCAGCCCACTATCCATCATCTTCAGCTTCTTTATTACCCACCTCTCCCTCATCCCACAATGAAGCTGAAAATCCACTCCCTCCCTGTTAGCAATATCTAAGGGAGAAGGTTCCAGCGGCTCGCTCTAAGCAGCCATAAGGTGTCCTTTCTAGAAAGTTCCTCCCAACATTTCTCCTAAGTCCCTCTGGCTACTGGGGCCCTCTCAGGACAATGCAGCAGAAGTATCAGAGAAATCGTGGGATCAAATCCCAGCTCAGTCACTTATTAGCTATGTGTTCTTGGGTAAGTCTAACTTCTACAAACCTCCGTTTCCTCATGTGTAAATGGGACCATAACACCTCCCATGCAGGATTGTTATGAGACCAGAAGTAATGTAAGGTTCCCGACAGTGACTTTCACATAGTAGGTGCTCGATAAAGGCAGTTGTTACAGCTGTTATTCAAATTCTAATGATAATGCATTTCAGTGGGGTGAGACAAATGCAGAAAGGAATTTGGCAGAGTGAATCAGCCACAGAACAGAGGACGGGAGGCCACTGTTCATTTCCTCTGCTGCGTCTATGACAAGGGGGACCTGGGACAGCCTGAGACACTCTAGGCAGGTGGACTGTGGAGATGGCGTTGGGGAACAGCTCACCGAAGTTTGGCTCATTGGGGCATCCCTTGAGCTTGACTCCTCTGGGGCCAGTCTCTATCAGGAAATGTCTCACCAGCTCGTGGGTCATGTCCCCTGGAATAAAGAGAAAGACATGAGGTTTCAGCACTTCTCATGGGGCCCTCCCACCACTTGCTAACATCACTTCATCCCTTCCCCACATGCAGCTCTGTGGCGGGAGAAAGGATTGGAAAGATATGGAGAGACCACCGCTCAAGGAAACACAGCCAGAGTTCCAATAATCCTGCTTCCCTGTCCTCTGACCCCAACCATCACCAGGCCCAAGACTCATTCTTCCAAAGAGTCTGACTCAGCAGGCACCAGCTCCCCCAAGAACTATAGGTCTGTCCAGCCCTGAGTCCTTCTGGCACCTCAGGCTTGGAGGAGGCTGTGCTGGTCCAGAGCCTGGCTCGAGAGGAGGGTGTTACCTTTTTTATTCTGCTGCACGACGGTCGGAGGAGGAGATGACACCTTCATGGCCAGCCCGTAGGCCCCTCGGAAGGAGTGGCTGTCGCGGATGATGAAGGCCCCTGGCTCCTGGTCCTTAAGGAGAGCGATGGCTGGGATTGGAAGGGATGAGGGGACCAGAGCAAATAAGAAATGGATGGCACGGGCCTTGCTTAAGACTCATCAGGTCTACCGAATCTCGCTCCTTAGTTAGAATTTAAACACCCCTAAGGGTCCTCCTATGCTAAAGTTGGCGAACATCTTCTATAAATAGCCAGGTAGTAACTATTTCAGGCTTCACAGGTCATGCCGTCTCTACCATTGCAGCACAAAAGCAGCCACAAACAATACAGAAGCAAAGAGATACAATGTGTTCCACCAAAACTGCATTTACAGAAAGAGGTCCGGGCTCTGGGCCATAGTCTCCAAAACCTAACATCCACACAGATCTTCCCTGGGAGCCCGGTGGGCCTCACTCCATCCCCACAACCACAGCTTTGTTTTGCCTGTAAAATGTGCAAAACTCTCCACATCACATAGCTAAGATTTGTTCTATGACCTTGGCTGGCCTTTTACCTTGCTTGGAAAATCATGACTTTGCTACCTTTTTTTTTTTTTAACGTTTTATTTTTATTTTTGACGCACAGAGAGACAGAGCTTGAGCAGGGAAGGGGCAGAGAGAGAGGGAGACACAGAATCTGAAGCAGGCTGCAGGCTCTGAGCGGTTAGCACAGAGCCCAACACAAGGCTTGCACTCACAAACCATGAGATCGTGGCCTGAGCCGAAGTCAGACACTTAACCGATTGAGCCACCCAGGCACCCTGAGACTTTGTTACTTTTAAGCACCCTTCGTAGGTCTACAAACCATGCTTCCGCTCCCCACAGTTCACCGCGAGGAGGTGCCTCTTTCTGTCTGAACTTGATCCCAGCCCCCCTCTGTGTCCACCCCATACTGCAAAAAGGAGTAAGTCTGCCCAGGAAGACATGGTGGGCTGCAGCCAGCTGTGACCTCTGATGGACCACAGGACCCTTGGTGCCACCTAGGACTCACCCTGCTCTCTGGAGATCTCAGGCTTGTACCAATACTTGGAAGTGTCCTGGACGAACTTCACTTTAGCCCGTGTCTCGGGGCTGTTGTCTAAGAGAGACGGAGACAGAAAAACAGTGTTATGGGTTGAAATGTGTCCCCTAAAAAGGTAGGTTGGAGCCCTAACCCCAGGTACCTGTGAATGTGACCTTATGTGGAAATAGGTCTCCGCAGGTGGATGCAAATTAAGATGAGGTCATGCTGGATCAGAGCGGGCCCCAATCCCATATGACCGGTGTTCATCTCAGAAGAGGAGGAGAGACACAGAGACCGTGGGGACAGTTGTGAAGATGAAGGCAGAGGCTGAGGGGACACATCCACAAGCCAGGGGACACCAAGGATGTGCCAGCAACCACGAGAAGCTAAGAGGTAAGCCTAGAACACATTCTCCCGCGAGCCTCCAGAAGGAGCCTGCCAACACCTTGATTTTGGACTTCTAGCCTCCAGCCCATGAGAGACTAAATTGTTCTCTTAAGCCACCAAGTCTGTGGCACTTTGTTACGGCAGCCGTAGGAAACTAACACAGAAAGGAGTGTCCTCAACACCATCAGAGCCCTGCTGGAAGGGACCTCGAGTGGCTTGCCCATCCTTCCCCTGTCTCCTGCCAGCCACTGTGCATTGCAGAGCTGCTCTCCAATGGAAAAGCCTGGCACAGCATTCTCACTGAGCTGAGGAAAGCCCTCCCTCCACCCCACCCTCTCCTCTCTCCAGAAGATCCGGACCAAACCCTTCCTGCAGCTTCCCTTCCACAGGCTAATGCACCCCACATGCTAGCCTCTTTCTCCACTGGCTGAATTTCCCGACTTTGTCATAGCAACCTTGCAGTTGAGGGAAGAAAGCTACATTTCCATCACTTCTCCCCAAGCCCCTCCTCATGCCCTATATGAAGAGCCCGTGTTCTCCATCATATTCACATACAAAAAAATCAGTCCTGCCCTGGAACAGAGGAGGAGGTGGCCTAGAGGCCATCTACTGTGAGTCACATACCCCACTTCCCTGGCAAATGACCCCCACCCAGACCCTTTGCAGACCAGAGATGCTTTATAGAGCATTAGGTTCTGGAAGATGCTCAGAGAGAGCACCCAGGATAACCACTCAACTTTACAAACAAGGGAAGTGAGGTTGAGAGAGGGAGAGGGACCCGCCCAAATCACACAGGTGGTTCACAGAAAGGCTCCTGTAAGATCTTCCCAGGTAAGAAAACACACGCGCCCATTTAGTGCCTGCTTTGCCTGATCTTTGTCTGGGTATTAGGATGTGCGGCCCTCGCTCTCCAAGCCCTTCCTTCATCTTTCGGCACCCAAGAAACAAAAAGGCGGGGGGGGGGGGGGGGGGGGGAGTTGGGGGAAGAGGAAGAAAGGAATATTCCAATTCCCCAGGTTTCCTCCCCTTTAGAAAGAAGCCGAACAGAGGACGCCTGTGCTAACGACGCTATAAAGCTGAGGGTGCAGAGATGAGATCCGGGTTAGACTGTGGGTCCAGCGTTCAGTCAATTTTGACTTGTCAGTAACCCTGGGCTAGACCCCTGGGATCGGCCTCTGGAGGACAGCAAGGGGGTAGGCCGGCTCCCTTTCCTGGCAGCTCCGCATGAAGCAGGGGCGGGCGAAGCAGCCGGGCCAAGCAACTGCGGCAAGCTGCCTGTCTCTCTGCTCTGAAGCCCCAGGCCCCGCGGCTGCTGGGGCCTAACAAGCTGTCAGAGGCGGCTGCAGCCCCATGTGCCTTCCTGCGTTGACTCTAGTGACTATTTTAAGCAGGGAAGACGGTGGGAAACAGGAAATGTCCCAACTACTAGAAGTTTTCCATCCTCCAAGAAGAGGGGCTGGGAACCGGTCGTCTCCGGTGGGCAGCAGCAAGCAGGGGTGTGCGGGGTCACTGTCGATGCCCCTGCCTGGCAGGCTCGGGGCAGGACCTGGGAGCAACACACTGAAAATCTAGGCACCAGGGGCCCACCCCGGGGCTGCCTGAAACCTTCTCAATCTTCCTCGAATGCCCCAGAGTTCCGGGGCCATTCTGCAACAGGCACATTCGAGGTCTGGTGGAGGCCCTGACCTTTGTGTTTAGACACCGAGCCCTCTACGCGGAGGCCAAAGATGCCGAGTTCTGGTGACGAGCAAAGAGATCCATGTGCGGACGTGCATGAGCTTCAGCAAAGCCGGGTCGGCAGAAACCAGACTCCAGTGAAAATGCTCAGCCCTCGGCCTCAGCCCCCAGTGCACGTGGCCGCCAGATACGTTAACAGTGATGTGCACACAGTGGGATCAAAAGGTGGGGACTGAGTGCTGTGGGCAGGCCACAGGGATGGCAGTCCGGGTTAGGAAGGCAGATTCTCAAAGTTATGCTAAATCATAAATGTGGAAACACGAGAAGACAACTCCAATAATACTTTGAGAGCGTGAGTTTTATGGCCAATGGGCCTATATCGGAAGCCATTTACTAACTGTGTGACCCCAGACAAATGACGGAGTCTCTCTAAGCCTCACTTTGTTCATGCATAAAATGGGGGTAATAATTCCTACTTTGCCAGGCGGCCGCGAGGATTAAAGAGCTAGCGAATGGCTCAGAGCCTGGCACACAGCACGTGCTCAGTGAGTGGCAGAAGCTAAGCTGATAGTGATGATAATCATAACAGTAACACTATCATTATCCTCCTCCTCCTCCCCCTCCCCCTCCTCCTCCTCCTCATGGGCACCCACATCCTCATCACTGCCCCCGCACCTAGCCCACTTACTTTGAGGCCACCTCCAACTCCCATTATACAGATAAGGAAACTGAGGCCAAGAAGTCAGTGAGCCGCCCCTGGTTGTGTGCCAAACAGCCGTCAGCACAGAGATGGACACAGACATCCCACCCAGTGGGCCATGTGCCACGGCAGAGGCGGGGGCGGAAGGAGGGGCTCACCTGGCATGGAGTACTTGGAGAAGTCGGGCAAAGTGTGGGAGAAGGAGACGGTGCTGCCCCCGCTGGGGCTGGACATGCCGCTGGCCACGGGCGAGGAGGACACCTTCCCGTTGACAGTGGCATAGTTGGGGAGGCTGCCTGCTCGGTCTCCCACGGACATCCTCCGCTTCTCGGGCAGGGCTGGCGTCGGGCTCCCTTGCCGGAAGGCTGCCGGATCCGGCGACGGGGAGGTGACGGGGCTGCTGAGGCCCGGGTAGTAGGCAGGGGACACAGGGAAGGAGGGCGTAGAGGGAGCCTGGTAACCAGAGGCACTGCTCTGCCGGGACAGCGTGGGTCTCCGGTCCTCGGGGGTGGAATAGCCGCCATAGGCCGCGTGCCGGTCCAAGCTGGGGCTGCCAGGAATCACGGATCCAGGCCCTCCCAGGTGCCGGCCCGGGCTGGGGCTTCCAGGGCTGGCTACTGCATTGCCGTGGAGGCCGGAGGCCAGGTTGCCTTGGTGGGCCCCAGGGTGCCGGCCCAGACTGGGGCTTCCCGGAGTAGTGGCCACACTGCCGTGGAGGCCTGAAACCTGGTGGGCCCCGGGGTGCCGGCCCAGGCTGGGGCTTCCTGGGGTGGTCGCTGTACTGCTCTGGGGGCTGGAGACTGCACTACCATGGTAACCAGTTCCCGCTGGACCCATCACCTGGCGGTGGCTCAAACTGGGGCTACTGGGGGCAGCCATGCTGGGGTTGATGGCCCGGCGGCCGAAGCCAGGACTGGGGGGAGTGTTGGTGCCCACTGTCCTGTGGCGCGCCTGAGGGCTCCCAGGTACCGTGTGGACACCGGCCACGGTGAACTGAGCCCGCGCCTGGCTTTCTGGGGAGCTGAACTGCTGTAGTGAGTAGTCGGGGCTGCTGTAGCTGCTGCCCACGGTCGGGAGAGGAGAAGAGCTCTGGGAGCTTCTCTGGGCCGAAGGGCTAGGCTGTCCCAGGCTGCCGGAACGGAAGCCGGAACCCAGCAAAGGCTGGGTAGGTGTCCGGGGACCCTGGTCGCTGCTTTCCCCTGAGGGGAAACTCCCCACTGAAGTGCTGGAAAGAGAGGGGGCAGGTTGAGACGTCAAGATGGCATTTCATGAAGGCCAGGCTTGCAGGGAGCACTCAGCCCTCCCCCCCACCACCTCCGCTAGTGGCAACACTAGGAGCCCCACTGGCATGAGCCAGAATGTCACCACTTTTGCACATCACCCTATGGAACCATCAGAAGAAGAGACAGAGGCTCAGAGAGGTTAGGCAATAAGCTCACGACCACATAGCTTGTAAAAGACCAGGCTTCCAACTCAGTCGCATCTGATTCTGAAGCCCATGTTTTCCCCACTGCCCCTTATTGACTCCTCAACCAGAAGGCAAAGCAAGGGGTCTCCCCTATGGAAACTGCAGATGGCTGTCCCCATGTAACCTCCAGCACCACAGACACTGAACACCAGGGTGGGGTCAAACCACCCGGCTCCTGTTCCTACCAGGAGTATCCCTGCCTTGACTCACTTTTCCCAGGATGCCACTAGCAACTTTGAACACTGCGAGTGCTAGACCTGGGCTCTCATTCCCAGATAGCTGCAAAAGGCAAAGACACCACATCTCAGAGCAGGACAGTTCAGCTTATTGTAAGGTCTGCTTTCCAGCTGTTGGATCTGGCCACTAATTCAGCAAGCTGCCTTGCGTGGTAATGAGACTCCCGTCATTAGCAGCATTTAAGCAGAAGATGACCAACCTCTTGAATGTTGTGGTGGGAATTTCCTCCACCCGGAGGTTACAGTAGATGAGCACAAAGGTTGCTCCCAATTCTAAGACTCTGGAAAGTTCAATTCAGAGGGGACTGTACCTGGCAGACAGCCACAATCATAGGCTCTCCTCCAAGGTTAAAGGGCAACCTGGATCGTGCTTGTTAAAGTTTCCTCATGTGGGAAACAAGGGGGCTGGATCAGATAACCCTGATTGCTTCCAGACCCAAACTCCTATCCATTGTTGACATGGCGGGAGAGGCCAAGGGTGACAGGGACCCTGCATCAGCTGTAGCTGCAGGGAGGTGGCAGGTAGGCTCTGCTCCAGGAGCCCCTGGGTGGGGGGTGAGGTAGGGGTTGGGAGGGTGTCCTTACACAAGAATATGGGCCAACCTGGAACTACAGACTGGAGGGAGTCTCGAGGCCAGGCTGAGGCCAGGATAAGCTCAGGTCCCCGGCTGAGGTGAGGTGAGGGGCCAGGCAAGAGCCAAGGGCAAGAAGCAGGTCACGGCCAGGCCAAGAAAAAGTCTACCTCAGATCCCAGAAGTGGCTAGAGTGGAATGCCATTCCTGGTACGGAATAACATGGCCTCTGAGGAATGGAGGGAGTGTCCGGCTGAGCAGGGTGGGGTCGGGGGGACTGACATGGAGTTCTGGAAGATTAACCCCACAGGAGAAACACTAGCTTCCTGAGCCCTGAAAAGAGCCAACTCTACAGCAGGAGGAATTTGAGTGAGAAACAGTGAAAACTTCCTGATGTCAGGGCTCCCTGGACATGAGCGGGGAGGGGCTGGCCAGGTTAGGAAATGTCCTTTCCTTGAAAGGAAGAATGCACCTTCTGGCTCGGAGCAGATTTCCCAAGAAGTGGAGCCGTCTGCCTGTCAAGAGGCTGGGGAGGGGGCAAGGTGGACTGAGGGTGCACGCTTGGCTTGAGGTTCCAGAATTCTTAGAAGAGCAGAAGAATGCAACCTCTGCTCACCCAGCCACCCCCACGCTGACCTGGGAGGGGGCGCACCGTGCGGGACCAACAGAGGGCGGAGGGCCTGCGGCAAACTCAGCCACCGGGGCCTGGCCGGTGATAGTAGCAGGACATGGTTGGAGAGTTTCGAGGCCTCCTAGGAGCCCAGGCTAGGGAAGGGGGTGGACGTGCAAAGGGACGCCCAGCAGCCGTCTCCCGTCCCGGGGCAGCCTAGCCTAGTCCGTAACCCCCGTGCCCGGCACCCTACGCCCTGCCCAAGCTCACCCCAGGCTCCCTGTCCTGTGTCAGGTCACGCTCTCCCTGTCGCCAAGCCCACACCCACTCCCCCAGCTGAGCAGCGTCTCACTTTACCCCCCACAAGGGGGCTTCCCCTTCAGAGCCCTCCCCTGCCTGATTCCAGACTTTCCTCTCTGTCTGACCCACCTCGAATGCGAGGCACCCTCCACCAACACGGCCCTCCTCACCTGCCACTGTGTGCCCTCAGCCCCCCGCACCAACACGTCTGCACCCCAGTCTTCCGCCCTGGCTGTGCTGTCCTTCTAGAGTGCCCTCTCCCTCCCCCTCCCCCTTTCAACACCTGCTTACCCTCCTGGCCTCACCACAAATACCTCCAGCCCCCAGAAACCCTCTCTGCACCCCTACCCAGAAATGGTAGCCTCCTGCTGGGAGCTCCAGACACGTACATGTCTGCTTTGGGCACGTCTGACTGTCATCCTGTGACAGGTGGGCACCTAAATGCAGGTCCAGGAGAGACATGGGCTCTAGAGCCAGACGCCTTTGGTCTGAATCCTATTTCCACTGTTTAGCCTGCAGGACCTTGAGCAAGCTACTTGGCCTCCCTGTGCCTCAGTTTCCCCTTCTGAAAAGTAGGATCCTAAGAGTAGCATTTAGCAAAGCGCCTGGCACACTGGAAGACTCACTAGATAGTGGGTGCTGTCGTTAGGTTTTAAAGTTGGGGGAAGGACTGGTTTACCACGGTGCATGGTGGTGCACGTCCGGCACAGTTTTCTGGATGGTGGCATTGAATTCAGCCTGGGAATTATAGTTCACCCATCCTCATGCTCCATGAGATTTGGCACCTGGGATGCTCTCCCAATGCACCCTGGGGAGCTGGTGTCCAAGGTGCAGCCATCTGGACGTGATTTCTACCCACCCACGCTCCAGGCAGATCCAGGCCTGGACCCTCCTCCCCACTTACCTGTCAGCACTGAGGATGGGGCTGCTGGTGGAGAGGGGGCTTGGGGAGACAAAGGAGCTTCCCAGGGTCCCGTTCCTCAGGGGCATCTCGTGGCTATAGGCCTGGACAGGTGGGGCGCTAAAGCTCTTAGGCTCCGGGTCCTGAGTTCGGGGCCCAGCCACTGCCGTCCTCACCACCGACTCCACGTAGCTCCGGGGCTCTGGAAAGGGCCAGAAGAGACACTGAGGTCCACGAGGGTGCAGTGTAGACCCCTTCCAACCTGTCAGGGAACCCAACAGCGTTTCCCCAGCCTGTGGGGACAGCACGCAAAGGACAGCCAAGCATGCAAAGGGCACTCCTCAGGCTCCGGCCTACCCACACTCCCCCTCTTCCCAGTGTCTTGGAGAAGCTGTAAGAGCCCCCACAGAGCCTTTAACCAGGGCCTCGCTCACAGAAGCTTCCCAGAAACGGACCCCAGCTTTGCCACTGAACACAGCCATCATAGAATCTTCCCTCCTAGAGCTAGGACACCTGTCTGTATCTGGCACCCCTTTTAAAGGCTTCTTTCCTTCAAAGACCCTTCTACCCAACCTCCAGGCCCTTCAAGGTCCCCCTGGCACCACTGGAGTCTGGGCTCTACAGTGAACCCAGAGCTCCAGCCCAGCCTTGCCCACATTCGGGACAGAGCCAGGGTTCACATGGGCTCCACCCACGCCCAGAATCCACAAACAGGCTTGCCGGCCTAGCAACAGGCCCGCGCTGGTGAGTCACGCCCAGCCCCTTCCCTGCCAAGACACACCCACCCACCTTGCCTGACACACTTAGCATTCCTCCCGAGACCGACATGACTATCCCTGTCTGGTGTTTAGCAGAGTCTCAGAATCCGGGGGGGTTGCGGGACAAGTGCCAGCAAGGCCGTTCTACAGGTGAGGGCGCTGAGGCCTGGGGAGAGCAATCAATGTGTCCGGAGGTGCGGCCCGGAGCCAGATCTCCTGACCCCCATCCGGCGTTTGTCTGACCCTCCTCCCAGACCTCTGAGGCCAGGCCTGAAACTAACTCCATGCTACGCAGGGAGAAGAAGCAGGGCACTCGGCCTCTCCAGGGACATGAGCAGGGATGGATGATGTTCCTTCCACCTCCACACCTGGCACCATCCCGTCTCCCCCAAGAGGGACATGATCAGAACACAGGCTCACACACTACCCACAATCGGGGCATCCGCTGAAATCAGCCTGAGAAAGTGAAGAACCAGAGAATCCATGCTGCCCTGGGCCGGCCAGGCCCCTGGAGCTTTCTCGGGCCAGGACTGTGTGACAGCAGATGGGGGGAGGGCAAGATGTCTTCAGAGGGTCAAGCATGGGGTGTTGTATTCCAGGAATGGAGCACAGGGTGATACAGCCACCTCGGTGTCCCGAAGCTGGAGTCCATACAGGCAGAGGTAAGCAAGGCCTACTCAAAAGCCCCCCTCCACCAGCCAGGCCACCCAGCCACGTCACAGAAGCCCCAGGCCTCTGTCACTCCAAAGGCATTGGTTCTGGGCCGACCATGCCCGAGGGCCTGCTGGAGCCAGGAGACGCTACAGAGACCCTCTGGCCCAGTGCAGGCACGCGCTTTTGTAAAAGGTTCGATAGTAAATCGTTTAGACCATTTAGTAAATGGTCTCTGTGGCAACTACTCAATTCTGCATTTGTAGCACAAAGTCATAGACAATTCGTGAACAAAACAGCATGGCCGTATGGCAATAAAACTTTCTTTACAAAAACAGGCAATGGGCCAGATGTGGCCATAGTTTACTGACCCCTGATCTCACCTGTCTCCTCAGCCCAGAGAAGTGGGGTGATTTGCCCCAGAACACACAGCCAATCAATGGCCATAGGTACTAGCACTGTGGTCTCCTGATTCTCAACGCCAGCTCCCGGTAGCCTAGAGAAGGGCCAGAGCCCCACGGGGACACCAAGAGCTGGCTGTGACCCAGTACTCCAGCATGTCAGCCAGAACTATTAATAATAATAACAATGGCAATTACATGAGCAAAGGAGGAGAATGTAAGTCCCTCACCCCGTCACAGGGGACCGAGGGACACAGCTGGCCTAGGAAAACAGGCGGTCTGACCTGGGGCTGCCCTCCCGCCCACTGCACACACACTGGCCAGCTAAAGTCCGGGAGCCAGTCGTTTCATGTGTCTTTAGTCTTGGGGGGCGGGGGGGATAGCTGTGTCCTGGGGTAACCCATCAGGGCAGAGGAACCATGCAACAAGGAGCCCACAGAAATGGCAATGGAGACGCAAAGCCAGAGTCTACTCTCCCCTCCCATCCCTCACCATTCTGGGTCACTCTCTGAAAACTCCTCTTGTACCTTCCCAGGCTCCTGGCTTCACCCGGGTGCCCAGAGTCCTCAGCACCCCTTTTCTCTCACTGGAAGACAAGGACATCCATCCGCTCCCTGGCCACCCTGGGATCCTTGCTTATCTACACTTGCAGTGCCCCCCAACCCCCTTGCCTACAGTGTACCCTCGCCCAGGGTACAACCTCCAAATGGAAACAGTGGGGCTGGGGACGGAGTTCTCTTCTTCATGAAGGAAGGAGAGGAAGAAAGCCATTCCCCCTTACTCCAGCCTCCAGCTCCCTCTTGCTCTCAGCCTCACTGATTTTGCAGTTCCTAGAAACAACATGCAGTTCCCTCCCACCCCAGGGCCTTTGTACACGCTTTTTCTCTACATCAAATGCTTTTCTCACCTCCCAGTTTCACCAAGTTAATGTCACTCACCCTCACATCTTACTTCTTCAACCAACGTCAGGTTCTTGGCTATAAGGTCTCATAAACTATATCCCTTCCCTTTGGAGTGCCATCTCAATGCGTAACTTCAAGTAACCTAATTCTGTCTCCTGATCACGTATATGCTCCATGAGATTAGGAATCACAGTACTGCGTATCAGTATATTCCCAGAGCCTGGCACAGTGACTGGCACGTAATAGGGACGTGAAATATGGAATCAATGAATCAAAGAATGAGAGAATACATGTAAAGCACTTAGCACAGTGCCTTGAGAGCAGATCCCCCTAAAATCTGCTCTTCCTCTAGCCGAGTAATTCTGCCTCTGATCATTTTTCCTCACAGGCATCTTTCTCTGAATTTCCCACCAAAGTTTCAGCAGGGAGATCAAGCAGAGCTTCGGAGGGTCAGCAAACAATGTGCTTTGGTCTGACCAGGGAGGTGGTACATGAGTCAGGGAAAATGGAACTGGCCGGGAGCCTCACTCCCCGGCCCTCTCCCGCCCCGCACCCCAGGCCACGACAGCAATTCTGACCCCCACGCTGGAATCCCAGGGCTCAGTGTCTGGAGGCAGGAGGGGGGCTCTGAAATAGCCCCTTGACTAGGAGACAGAAGACCTGTAAGTCCAGTCTGGGCCCTCCTGCCTCCTAACTGGGGCCTTGGGCCAAAGCCCCGGACCCTCACTCACAACACAGGCCTCCGTCCCACATCTGTGGAAACGATGGGTCCAGCAGAGGTGATCCCCAAGAACCATCCCCTCCAAACTCTGTGGCTCCCAGACACACGAAGGAGGGTCGGAGGACTCGGGGCCTTGAAGGCCGAGAGTCATTTGTACGGTAAAATGGGCAATTCAGTTCTGCTGAGGCTCACTTCTCTGAAGTGTCACCCCAAAGTGGGAAACACAACATCCAGCACCTATCAGCCTGTGGGATAATCCCCCCCTCAGAGCCTCCCACTGGAGAGGGCTTGTGGGTGCTCCTGGGCCCCAGCATTTCTGGACTCCTGTCCCATCCCCACTGCCCTGTCAGGAGCTAGGAGCCAGCAGCCAGCCTGGGGGAAAGCCCTTCCCCACCCCCGACTCCCGTAGGAGGCTGGGGAGAAGGGCAGCCAAGAGCACGCTGTGGCTCCCCCCACTTGGGGCCTGTTGCTGGCGGCTACCTCGTTCTGAAACCCCCAGGCAGCCTGGGGCTGCTGCCCAAACTCTGGCTGGTGTCCAGTGCGCAGATTCAGAGGGGCACAGCTCATGCCCACTTTGGGGGTGGGAAATCAAGGCGGTGAGTGCAAAGGAAAGAGGCAGGTGGGATTCAGAAAAGCAGATAAAGCCTTTAAAGAAAGCAGGCCACAAGGAACGAGGGCCCGAGTAGGAAGTCAGAACATTTAACATGTCAGAGCTGGAAGGGACCTCAGTGCCCACCTCATCCAAGCCCCCCTGGTGGAGACAGGGACCCTGATGCCCAGAGTCACACACAGACGGCCTCGGCCGGCACCCGCTTCATTTCACCTGATGCTCTTGAATCATCACTTGAATCCTGTTCCTAATAAGTTAAAGGTCTCCAACCAGATTGTGTCCCACCTCTGCTTATGTCCCCTCCTATGTTCCCTGCTCTGCTTCGTGTACAACACAGAATTCATCTAAACTGAGGGTTAAGCTGGGACACAGACATGCTAACCCCTTGAAACTGTCAAAATTATGTGCACGGTATCCCGATGCATTTGTGTGGGAGGAGATCCATAGCTGTCATGAAATCCCCAGAGGCATCTAAGATTCCAGAAAGCAGACTCCCTACCCACCACCTGTGGTAGCAAGGGCTTCAAGGGGGCAACTCTAGGCTCTAAGTCTGCTGAGAAACCTGCTCTGAGCTATGCACGTGGGGCACGCCCCAGGAAGTGGGATAACGTGTGTCCCTTCACCCTCTGAGGGGGCTGTCCGCACCACAGGCAAGCTAGAGGAAGTGTCGCTGGGGGAGGAAGGGGCGGGGGGGGGTGGATCATCACGAGGTGGCACCACACTGGCACCCGGAGCTGGCTACGCCTGAACCTGTGCCCAGCTCCTTGGTCAGAACTCGGGGCAGCGTCCAGGGGGACAGCTCATCACCAGGGGGTGGGGACCAGAAAGCTATGTACCTGGTCATCTGAGACCCATCAGAAAAGAGAACTGCCCCCGAGCCAGCCCAAGCAAGCCCCTCGTGAACAGCCACTGCCAGACTCAGAGAGAGTGAAGCGGCCACCAGCAAAGCCACACTTACCTTTGGGAAGCTCTGTCACCACCTTCCCCTCATCCTCCTCTGAGGGAAGATGAGAGGAGAGGTAGCAGGAAGGAGAGGCAGGAAAGAGAGGCAGATGATGAGGAGGTGAGGAAGAGCAGAAAGGAGAGAGAGAGACCGATTAACAGGGATTATTTCCTGAAAGAGAATTCACTGAGAAAGAGGTGGTAGGAAAGCAGGGGTGAGGCCAGGGCGGAAGAGCCCAGGGTGAGGGGTAAGATCCACCCTGACAGGACCCTGAGGGCTCAGGGTGCACAGTTCAAGGACAGCCTCGCTCCCAGGGACAAAGCCGGCCCCTCTCACGGCCCCTGCCCCCCCCAGCTTACATCTCGAGCAGAAGTGTGCTGGCCGGTGAGAGGCGGCCCCAGCCCCTCTGCTCCCTGGTGACTCAGTGTCCCTGGCCATGCAGACACCTCCAAGTGGGAGGCTGTGCCGGCCGTGTGGGTCACACATGCGTGTCATTGCCCTCCTACCTGGCTGGATCAGTCTTCTGGTGACTAAGGAGAAAAAGCAAAGTTGGCCCCAAGAGCCCCAGCCCAGCCCTAAAACCAGAGTCTAGGGAACAACCTTCTGGGCTCTGCCTGTGCAGAATGGCCACTCAGGGACCAGGGCCCTCCACTCTCCCCTTCCCCACAAGGAGGAAAGGAGCTGGGGCACGTGATAAGGAAGTAGGAGGTGTGAACTGGGAGCGTGTGTACGTGTGTGTGTGTGTGTGTGTGTGTGTGTGTGTGTGTGTGTGTGTGTTTCCAAGTACACAGTGCCTGAACACTGGGGGATGGCAGAGCCAGGCTTCTGGCAGAGAAGGAAACTGAGGCCAAGCCTCCAAATCCCCCCGTCGGAGGACCCCGGGAGTGGCACTGACCCCATGAAGACTGTAAAGGGGCCTACCTGCCTCCACCCCTGCACAGAGAACCCCCACTCAGACCTGACAGTGTGGGCACAAAGCCAGGTTGCCATCTTGTTTCCAGAAGGGTCCTGAGAACCCATCACCTCGGGGCATTTTCTGATTAGATCCTGAGGCCCCGCCCAGGACCACAGGGGTCCTCAGATGCTGACTCACTCCTTTGGCCTCCCCCCCCCACCTTCCATGCCCAGTCACTCACCACCGGTAGGGTGCAACAGGATGTCCGCTGGGTTGTGGGGTTTCAGGCCAAGAGCCGACAGGGGTGTCTTGGCCAGACCTGGAGGGGAGCGCACTGTGCCAGAAAGAAGAAAGGAGACATGGCGAGTGAGCCTCGGGGCGAGAGAGGTGTGGGGAGAGGAAAAGGGGCAGGAGTAATGACACCCATAAGTGAGGGCATGTCGGTGAGGGGTGGGCGACAGGAGGGGGTGCAGAAGAACCAGCCCCAGTCCCAGAAGTTGCTGCCACTGCCCTTTCCTGTCTCTGTGTTCCTCCACAGCTCCAAGGGTAGACAAAGTCAAGAAATGGAGCTGCCCCTCAGCCTGGTCCTCAACCTCAAGAAAGTAATTTCTTGACCTCAGTTGCATCGCCGTGATCCCCTTGAATCACCATGGCTCACGACATACACACAGGCTTCTCTGGCTTTCTCTGACTTCCTCCATACTATACTCTCCCTTCCCTCATCCTCTTGTTCCCCGCCATGCACAGTCTTTCTATACCACGCATTTCAATGGACTTAGAGAACTAAAGGAAATGGGATATCAAGACGGCACATCCTGTAAAGGACAGAGGGAGGAAAGGGATTCCCGGCAGAGCCGCGCCCACCCTGAGACCCCAGGGCAGCCCTCGGCCAACCACGTCGCTTGCAAACCCCAGGAAGAGAGAATTTCTCAGGTGAGGCTCTCTGTACCCCCAAATCCCAGCGTCCAGGAAGAGGGAGAAGCCCCATCGCCACCATCCTTGGCCAAGAGCACTGACTCCCTGTGCAATCCCCAGGGCCCTTCTCAGCTGCCCGTCTGGGTTAGAAGTGTCATGGAACACACAAGGTCAGAAAGGGCTGTCAGCCATTTTCCCATCAGCCAAGGACGTGGCCAGCGTCCGAGCTGAACTGCAGGGCGGTGGTTATGCCCAGTCACGAGATCTCTCCTCGGTGGCAGTAGCTGCCTCTCCCAACACACCTCTGAGAAGAAGCAAAGAAGCAAGCTCTGTGTCTCCTAGCCCGGCCACGGGAAGCGTGCAGAGGCCACAGGCCCTGAGGACACGCAGCTGCACGGATCGGCCAGGGCCCAAGCCTGCCTGCCACACGCCGTTGGCCTCAACAGACCAGCGGCCACCCTCCGATGCCTAGCACCCCCACAGCAGCTCTGGGACCCCCCCCCCCCACAATCCTTTTCCCAAAAGGCAGAGAGACCTACAGGAAACAAAAGCTACAAGCTCTCAATGCAAGCAACATACATAAGTTGCTGGTGCACAGGTGGCTCTGTACATGGGTGCACACAGGAACAGTGGGAACTCGCAGGGGTCCAGGTGGGGGGCAGAGTCTATCCTCACACCATCCTTAGGTGCCAATTAGACAAATACAGCACAGGAGACAAATGTGTACAAACGTACACATCTGGGTAGTGAGGCAGATCTAGGTTTGCAGGTCTCTCTCCTTACGTGCACACACACTCACACACACACACACACACACACACTTTTGGTTTCTACCACCCTCCAGCCCCCCCCCTTACTGAAAATGGTGTCTTGCAAGAGATATTTATGAAGCACTTATTAATGTTTGTCAAGCGAATGAATTTGAACGTGATTAGTTACGGAGGATTGAGCCCAGCTTCAGAGACCACTGCCCATGGAATGGGCACGAAGCATCTCCAGCCCACAGGTGTGCATGTGTGGGCCCAGCTGGCGTAGCAGAGGCACAGGTGGCCCAGTGACCCAAGGTAAAGAGGACAAGAGGCAGGGGGAGGTTTCTCCTGGCTCCACCTCAAGCATCTCCAGCTGCCTCGTCACTCATGCCCCAGTCCCCAGGCATCTGGCTCTTCTGCTGAGGCAGACGAGTGGGTGGCCCTGAAGCCAGGCAAGGCTTTTGCTTCCCGACAGAGAAATTCCTCGCATTTCTCCACCTCTGTCCTCTCTCCCAACCCTGTGCACCGATGAAACCTCGGACTTACTCTCCCCGCTGGGACACCAGGGCTGGCGAGGGCAGGGCGAGAAGAATGGGAACAGGCACACGGGACAAAACCTAACTCGAGCTCAGCCCAGATGGCTTCCATCCCAAACAGGGTGATGACCAAGATCCTGGCTGATTGGACCAACCGCGAATTGGAGCAGGGGTGAAGGCGGAGGGCTGAGACCAGGGAGAGCGATTCCACGGAGTCACAAAAGGCCACAGAGCTGCCTCTTGAGCAGACCGCCCTGGGCCCACACTGTCCACGAGGGGAGCCCTGAGGCACACACGTGGCTTTAGAGCACCTGCGCGGTGTGGCCAATCTGAATCGAGATGTGCTGCACGTGTAACACACACGCCCGATTTCAAACACTCACTGTGAAATAAGAAGGCAACACATCTCTTTGTATGACAGGTCTTTGGGGTTAAATAAAACCTGTTACTGAAAGGGATTTCCTTGGCCTCTTTTTACATTTTTTAAAAAAGATTGTAACAGACCCCGTTAATATTTTTATCTTGAGGGGCGCCTGGGTGGCTCAGTCGGTTGGGCATCCGACTTCGGCTCAGGTCATGATCTCACGGTCCGTGAGTTCGAGCCCCGCGTCGGGCTCTGTGCTGACAGCTCAGAGCCTGGAGCCTGTTTCAGATTCTGTGTCTCCCTCTCTCTGACCCTCCCCTGTTCATGCTCTGTCTTTCTCTGTCTCAAAAATAAATAAACGTTAAAAAAAAATTAAAAAAAATATTTTTATCTTGATCTACCTATTGAAACGAGAATATTTTAGATATTTGGGGTTAAATAGAAAAATATTAAAATGTACTTCTCCGGTTGCCTATTACGTCTTTCAAGGCGGCTGCTAGAAAATGTCTCATCACAAACGTGACCCGTGTCCTGTTTTCCTTGGACGTGAGCTGCTGCTCACGACTTGGGCCTCCTGCGTGTCCCAGATGACAGCCAACATCAGTTGTGCTGGCACCGTGGCGGGGGACCGGTGCCACATTCCTCCCGTCCTCAGGATAGCCAGCCACCAGGAGAACATGCCACCAGTTCTGTTATCACCCTCCTCCCCTCCCCGGTCTCTCCCTCCTCTGCTGCCCCGGGCCTGCCACAGACACCCCCCCACGAGTCCTTCTCAGTATTGTCCCATCACTGCTGTCCCACAGCTGCCCTCTTCCAGCTCCTCCTGCCTCTTCTACGCCACCCCTGCACTCAGACTGGTCTTCTGTTTGGTTGGAAATGCCTGTGTCCTTGGGGGATTTTGCCTCTCCAGTGAGTGCATCAGGAGGTACAAACTAAATGCTCCTGCCTGGAGACTGAGGATGGATGAGATGGGGACTCTGACAGGCTGAGTGTTCTGGGCCTTTCTTTCCTTGATGGAAACTAAGTAGGTTGCCCGAAACGGAACAGGTGCCTGGATGTAGACAGAAATGGGCATCAGGAGCAAGTAGGTCAAAGGGTATCTCAGGGACACATCGGCAAGTCACAGTTGCTTTAGGAATTGGGGGAGGCGAGGGGGATGTTGCACCAGGATGCAAAAACTCTCAACAGTTAGGAAAAATCTAGACGGTGGGAGGCCGGGGACCCCACAGAAGGTCAGCGGGATCCCAAGCCTGTGGCTGCTGCATCCGTACATGTCTGCGCGTGGACAACGGAAGGAAGAGACGTGGGGCAGGATGGTGAAGTGAAATGAGTGGCAGATCCTGGCCACGCCCAGCATTGCCAGCACCTCCCCCCACACCGGGGTGCTTACTCAGGCCAGGGCTGAGAGAGGGGCTTGAGGGGACCCAGGGAAGACAGACTCAGTGAGGAGCTCTTACCCCCGCCGGGTGGTGGGCTGGTCGGGGAGGCTCCCTCCATCTCCTCAAAGGCTTCCTTGTAGCTGTGCAGATGGGGCTGCAAGAGAAGAACAGGGCGGGTAGAGGGGATGCCCACTGGCGGCCATACCCTGCAATCAGGGGCTTCCCAAGTAACCGGCCCACTAGTCCCCTCGTCAGCCCGACCACCCACCCCTCCTCAGGCAAGCACAAAGGTCAAAGGGAGATCGCCACCAATTTCTTCATCACTGCTCTTTGCAAAACCGTGGAAATCGGCTCTTTGCAAAACCGTGGGCCAGCATGGGTGGCAATGAGGGGCACCTGCCTTGGAAATACTGCACAACGGGGCCAAAGACAAGGGGCTGGGAAGGGGGAATCGGGTCCAGAAGGCAGTCAGGAGAGAAAAGATGTCCAAGAGCCATTTATATCCAGAGTAACTCACTAGCCTGGATTGTATCCGACACGGGCCACTCGTATCAGGATCTTCCAAGATGCACGTCTACAATGCATATTCCTCAGCCCTGTCCCAGCCTTAATACGCTGGAATCTACTGCCTCCAACTACTGAAATGTCTCAGAAGTGCAAACATTTTGACATAGAAATTAGATATCCCAAGAAAACTCTATACCTAGAAAGAATTCAACGACACTCTTGTCAGTCTCTATGATCGGGTTCGGAGTGTGGAGACTGGGGTCATCTGTGTCATACCCAGGATCCTCACCACCCTACTAAGGGGCGCCCTTTAGGAGTCAAAGGGGGAACTTCAACCTCAGTGTTGATGTAAGAAGTGGGAGCATAGAAGTTATTTAGGGAGGGAAATGCCAGCTTCCACATGCCAGAGAAGGGACATAGGGTGAGAACTGAGTTTACTGACAGGAGAGTGTCACTCAGGTGACTATCGGGCCCCTGAATAGTTCAGGTGGGCTCCACTACCCTCTCTGGCCACAGGACACAGCCCAAGGACTCACCTCTTTGGGCCGCCCTCCAGGATTGAGGGCGATGGTGAGAGCCAGCTCGGGGGAGACGCACTGGACAGGGGAACGGACCCCAGGGCTACGGGGAGACGCGGGTTCTGGAGACTGGTTCTCATACTGTCCATCGCTGGCTGCCCGCCTCCGGAGAGGGGCTGGGGGTTCTGCAGGCTGCTTCTCCCGAGCCTGCACCCCTGGGAAGAATGCAGGGCATAGAAGGCAATGAGCATATTAGGCGAGAAAGGATCGATGAGGCCCGATCCCCCCAGAGAAGGCGGTGCACCTTAGCCAGGAGCCACACTGGAGCTGGGCCTGTCTCCCCTGAGTACTCCCCACCAGCTCCCTCCGCCCGCACCCCAGGCTTTCTCTGCAGGGCGGGGGAGCTGCTAAGGTTGGGCTGGCCTTCACCGGGAATCGCTACCCTGCACAGGGCTGGGGCCCAAAGCGCAAGGGCTGATACAAGAAACAGATGTCAACTCTTTGCAAACCCTGGAGGCAGAGGGCCAGAGCTTCCAGGGAAATGAGGGAAGGTGGAAGGAGGAGAGACAGTCTCCAAGGTGACCGCGTCAACCGACAAGCAACATCAGGCCCGTGGGGAAGAAATTTGGAAAGAGCCAATAATGCATCATCTTGCAAATGGTGCTCCCGAGGAGAAACAAAGAAATGACTCAAGTCTTATCGTGAAGTCCCCAGCCCCAGCTGGCCCCTAGAATATCGCCGGTCTTCTCTGGGGCTCCCCACCCTTCCTCCCATGCGTCTCTGAAACCTCTCGCCAGCTTCCCTTCCGCCGGCCCCTCATCTACTCACCCCTTTCCTCGCCCCAAAGATGGTGAGCTTCCCACCCTCCCCCTCCCAGCAGAACAGCAGGCAGAGGGGCTGAAGTCATGAGCTCCAGCTGCTTTTCTGTATCCCCTCCGTTCCACAGGCCCGGGCACGTTGGGAGCCTCGCCCTCCTTCCTTCCCACTCCGTCTTCCCACAGCTGGGCTGAGGCACGGAACCCATTGCCTCATGGAGCTGGCTCCAGAATCCTCGAAAACTTACTCCCCAGGTCCTGGAGGCCAAGACCCAGCCTGAGGACAGGCTTCTTGTCTTCATTATCTTGTGTGAGGGAACTTTCAGCTCTGCCTTCACCGCTTCCCGGGAGGGCAGGTGAAGTGAGAGGAAATGCCGGGATATACCAAAGGTCACGTAGCACGCTGGCCGCACCAACCTCATGCCAGCACATCTGGGAACGCTGTCCCACCGCACACCACTCACGCACACGCACACACGCACGCGTGCCCACCGCTGGCCACTAGAAATGTGCCAGTGCAGCCAAGCAGAAATCACCATCCTGCAGAGCGAATCGTCTACCATCCACAGTGGGGTCGGCGTGCCCCCAGGTGCCCCACCCCAGCTCCGGCCTGGCTCAGCCACTAAGGCTGCCGTGAGAAGCACTTGCTGGGAAGCCTTCCTACTTGTCATGAGCAGCAAGATGCCGAGGCCAAACTAGGGCCAGACACACACTCTCTCTCTCACACACACACACACACAGTCACTCATGTCCCATTACTGGGGGCCCATCCAGAGAGCAGCAGGACTGGCATAATTTGCAAAGGCACAGCGGTGCCCAGATGGGGTGGGGTCCGCTTTGGGCTCCTCATTGCCCAGAGGCAGCCTCCCCGTTACCTCCACCAAGACAAAAGAGCCCCTTGATGGGGACAGTGATCCAGACTCCCAAACGGCTCTCCTTAAAGCAAAATGCCCTTAAAATGCCCTTATTTTCAGAATAGAAGCATGGGGGTCACATAGCCCTAACTAGGGTCTGAGCATCAGCCCGGGTCAAAGGTGCAGGCAGGCCCTGAAAGGGCTGAGCAGCGCCCAGGGACCCCGCAGCAAACCCCAGGCTCCCAGCCCTCAGAGAAGCAGCAGCATCGAGTGCCACTTCACAACTGAGGGTGCGCCTGCTTTCACCCCGCTTCTCCCACCTCCGCTGAGCCCCTTCCTCCCCAGGCCTCCTGGGCAGCCTCATCTAGAGCTGCTGCTCATTTCATTCCTGGCAAAAACATTATAAAGAAACAGACATAGCCATTGATTTTCTAATAATAATTGTGACAAAGGAGGCCCATTTGGGAAAGGCTCTAGGGGTTTGGAACGAAGTTCAGCCCCAAGGTTAAAAGAAATGCATTAGGGCCGGTTGTCAGTTCCGGCTCACCCAGCCCGGCAGCCTCTTTCTGGCAGGTCCCTGTGTCTTTGCAAGGGGTGGCCTGTTTGGGGATCTGATGTCTGCCCTTGAAAAGTGGGTCTGTTTTAATCCGAGGCCCTGAATCTCCCAGAGGGACAGAGAAAAGTCTCCCCGGTTTGCTCAGAGCATCCTCCATGTCTAGGTGCCCCATATGGTGGCCACAAATGGTGGCCACCTCGCAGAGGAGAGGCCAGACTACTGGAGGGGCTTCCCAAATGTGGAGACATGAGGCCCTGGCACAAGGCAGTCAGACATCTGAGAATGATCACACCTCCTCAAGTCCTAAGGCAGGGGGATGGACAGGATGACCTCCAAAGAGCCAGGAGTCTGCAGAAGGGGGAAGACCCCGCATTCCACTCCCATGGGGACAGCCCCTCCCCCTGCAGTGTGCCCCATGGCACCAGTGGCCGGCCAGGGCTCTCGCATTCTTTGAACACAGTATCTCACTGTTGTCCCCCTTGGCAGGCTCAGATATGCCCGGAGTGCTGGAGAGCGTGTCCCCTCTCTCTTGTCCTTCTCTGGGAGGGGAGACAGGGCATGGCCGGGGGGAGGGAAGAGAGTCCTACTGTTCCTCAGCCAAGCTGGGACAGCTGGACACAAGCTTACAGCCAGTGTCAGAGAGAGAACACCCCTCCCTCGTGTCCCGCAGACTGACCTATCATAAAAATAGGCTTGCTCCCCACTCCCCTCCTTCCCCCCACCACCCTCAACCCCAAGACTTTCTCAGTCTCTTGAGCCTGTTCCCAGTCTGTCAGGGCCTCTGTCTCCCTACACACACACAGGCGTGCACACATACTCTCTCTCTCTCTCTCTCACACACACACACAGACACACACACACACACTGCAAGTCTGGGAGCTGTAGCCCTAACACACATCAACACACCCGCTCTGGCCGAGCACAGCCACCCACCACCCGAGTCCCACGGACAAATGCCCTGGTGTCAGGCTTCATCACGTGTCTCCCCTGCAGCCCCCGGACTGGCCACTTCCACCCCCACAGACCCAGCTCTTCTTTCCAGCCTTCCGATTTCCAAAAGACTGGATTCCTCAGCTCCAGGTGACGGGGCTGGGTGTCCGACGGCATGCCTGGGGCTCCGAAAGCCAGGGTATCCGGGAGGCCACCTGCTGGGCCAGGGCACCAGAAAGCCACACGGCGATCACACTAGCAGCCCCAGGGCAAGCCATGCCAGCTCCCCTCGGGACAGGCCCCCCCACCTCACAACTGCCCCCATCCCCCGGGCCCAACTGAACACTCCCCACCACTGGGCCGAGAAAGGGTGAAGGGAGGGGAGAGGAGGCGGACAGGGGGCATTCTGCTAGAGCCATCTCCCCGTTATCCACGGACTGGGAAGAGGAGGGGCTGTGCAAGCACCAGATACTGCCATTGGGAGTCAACAATCCCCACTGTCCCCTAAGCCTTTTCCCGGAACTGCAGCCTTCTTAACCTGGGCCTCCGGGCTTCAAGGCTCAGGGCACTGATAACAAGATTCCCTCCATAGAGCTAAAAGACTATGGGCCTTTACGTCCGAGAGGCCAGGGGCAGACGTTAGTGGGCATCATCGAGCAGACACAGACCCTTGATAAAGGGTCCACCATACTGGAGGACATCAAGCCACCAACGTAAAATACACATGGCAGGGCTATGATCTCTCCATTTTTCACATTAGGCAATTGAGCCCTGAGTAATTAAGAGACCTGCCCAGGGTCACAGGGATGGGCCACAGGCAGAGCCAGGACCACACCCAGGGCTTCTGACGTTTGGCCACGGGTCCTAGGATCCGAGATTCAGGATGAGGTCAGAGGGCGTGCTGTATCCCCAGAGAGTAGTGTGCTCTAGAGTGGACAGAGCACAGATGTTCGCTCTTTGTCGTGAGCCTGGTGGCCCACACAAAGCACAGCCTAGCTCCTACCGAGGCCCTGGCCCAGCAGCCTGAGTGGTCTGGCCAGGGTAGCCAGAGAGCTGGGCTGTCCTCACCCTTACTGAGCACACTCACGTGGTGGCCTGTGTGTCCACCGGGGGCCTGTAAGTTCATCTAGTCACCCCAGACCCTGTTCCCAGCAGATAAGGCCAAGGCAAAAGGCATCAGGCCTGTGTCCATGCAGAAGTGGGAGCACTCGCTCATGCAGAAAGGAGGGGGAGAGAGTGTGGAGAGAGGGAGGAGAGAGAA